AGTATGAGGAGGCCCACGGCAGGAAGCGGATGGCGTTGAGGGGGCCGTTCCTGAAGATGTCGGTGTGCAGGGTGCGCTCGTGGACCTGGGAGGGTGGGAGTGTTTTGGGGGGGGGGGTTGTGCGTGCGTGCGTGTGTGTGTGTGTGTGTATGTGTGTGCAGGTGTGTAAACCCGTCTAACTTGTGTTCACGCTTCCTTGTTCGCGTGATTGTTTGTGTGTGTGCGTGTGTGTGTGTGCGTGTGTGTGTGTGTGTGTGTGTGTGCGCGCGCGCGCGCGGGCGTGCCGGTGTGTTTGCAAGCGCGTGTGCGTGTTTGCATGGGCAAGAGCCAGCCGTTGCTCGGATGCAGGCATGTATCTTTCAAAGGCAACTGAGCCAGGGAGGTCGCGGCGCTGCGACTCCAGGCGAGTGACCCCCTTGCCCTGCCTGCCAAGCTGCTCGCGCCGCTAGCCGGCCCCCGGCCAAACAACGCCCCTTTATCCACATATATTCCCGCCGGTTTGCGCGCCACACGACGCCGCAAAGTTCGAGACCGCACCTCTCTGCGCATGCACGCCCGGCAGCCGGGCTCGGGTGACACCACAAAACACCGCTCCCCTCACACACTCGGCCCCGCAAAAAACACACCAGGCGGGACGTCCTCCACCTCCCGTGCGCCAAACCCTCTGAGAAGAACTCGGCGTTGCCCAGCCCGCAACAGCAAGGCCCCCACCAACACAGCATCCCGCCGAACGCCCTCATCCCCGGGCCCTCAGTCGATTTCCAGCCCTCAGCCCCTCACTCCTGCCACCAGCCGCCAGGCGACAGCCGCCACTCAATCAATCGCCCCGCACCTCCTCAAAGTTCCAGATCCCCACCCCGCCCTTCTTGTCCCCCGCCACCACCAGCCTGTCGCTGTCTGGCGGGAAGGCCAGCGTCGTCACGCGCCGTGAGTGCAGCTTCAGGATCGCGCACTCGACCTGAAGGGGTGGGGGCGGCGGGCAGCACAGGGCCAGGCGGGGCGGGGCGAGGCGCAGCATTGCGGATGCCGCAGCCGGAGAGAGCAGCGGAGGAGCGTGGCAAGGTGCTGGGGCTGCAGATTTGAGATCGAAAGCGGCGCGCGTGCCTGTTCAAGCAGCATCCAGGAATTGCAGCATCGCCCGAAAAGTGTCGTAGGGCTGGGTACACGCGAGAGCAAGTATGTCCGCGCGCCATGCGCGCGTGTGGGTTCCGGGGGGCGCGGGGCAGCAGCACTGCAAAGGGCATCACCTGCCAGCGGCCGAACGAGCACGGCAGCTCGCGGCCGCTGAGGCGGCGGCCGGTCTGCACAGCGTCAGCAGGGAGGGGCGTGCGCAAGGTGTCATCGAGCCGGCGCTTGCAGGGTTCAGCGCATTGCCTCAAAACCCTTGGATGAATCGCCTGTCACGGAGCGACCGTGCAGCATGTGAACCCCTCATGACCAAGGGTCTTGTCCCAAGCGGTGGTGCAGCCCCGCCGTGGCTGCCCACTCAAGAGAAGTGGCAGCCAAGAAAGGGACGCTCCGCTCTACTCTGCTTCGAGGCGTGCGCCCCCACCGTTTCGCAGTCCAAGAGCAGGGCCGGGGCGGAGGGCGCGCCGCCGGTGGGCTTCTCCGCGCGGGTGTCAAAGCCCTGCAGGAGCACGGGGTACCGCGCGGCGGCAAGTGGCAGGGTGTGAAGGGGCCAGCGCCCTGCGCTGGCTGGGGCCGGCCGACTCGGTGTATGACGTACAGCGAGGGCGGGGGTGCTGCAAGCCGCGGCGCGGCTGGTGCGCAAGGGGTTGAGGCGTTTGGGTACCGGCAGGGTGGGTTGACTCACGGGGTCGACTCTGTGGGGGCACGTGGCTGTGGTGTGGCCGGGGGTCTTGCAGAGGAAGCAGGGCCGGTTGATGCAGTCCACGTAGACAGCACCCTGGAGGGCGAAGGGACGGGCGCGTTGGCGGGCGGGCGCAGCGAGCGTTTTTGGGAGGGGGGGGGGGAGGGTTT